TTGCCAGATGGCACTGCTGGAAGTGGTTGGTTGACCAGCATCTGAAAGGCCTCAAGTTCCCCCTCCCCGGATTAATGCCCTTTGCCCGTCGCTGCAGCGCCGTTGTGGGGAGTTGTGAGCTGACTTCGACTTACGCTGTATTTAGGGTTTCAAGGGGCTTCTTAGCTCGCTCAGAAAGCCTGGGTTTGAATTGCTGGGCCTCAATGATGTGCAGGAATGAGTGTCAGAAGAAGGCGCGGGGGGGAGGTAATTCCTTCACTTGATCGGTTGGAGGGGAATCCAATTCCCGAGGCGAACTCTGGGGACAACTGGGGAACCCACCTTTGACACTTTGATACCCGAGTGGTCCTGGCAAACAGATTTTCCTCGAATTTTCCCTCGTGGAAAGGGGAACGTGGAGGGAGCCTACAAAGGCTCCTGGTTTAGGAGTTTAGGGGGTGGGAATCTGAAACGGCGCGGTTGTAACAGATTCCGGCAGGGTTTGCAGGCACTGGGGTGGATGGCTGGGCGGCCAAGAGAAGAGCTCATTCGGCGGTTCTTCTTAGGCTGTGGATCGGCTCTTAAACCACGCTCTCCAAAAAAAGCCATTTTGTTTTGCGGTGGGCGCGAGAAAAATCAGCCCGGCCGCCCTCCATCCTGAGCCCTCGCGCGGGGTGGTGGCAAGCGAGAATGCTGCAGAAGCCCAAGGAAAGAATGGGATGAACAGAAGAAGTTGGCTTCTGGGGAAAGGAACCCTCCACCCTTAACCCCCTCTGGGTAAACCCCCCCGTGGGTTTTTCCCCCCCCCCCCCCCCCCCGCAAATGCGGTCCGAACATGACACCGTCCCAGGTCCAAAAAGAGGCAGATGGAGAAATTCACCTCACTTTCGGGAAGTGCTTTCATCTGTTTTCCAGATGCAGAACCAGTTTGTAACTCTCCGCTTTTAAAACTCGGGAAAAAAATCACCCTGAGGTTTGCCCCTGCCTGGAACTCGAATTCTTCAGAGCCATCACTCCCAGGAGGGTTGCAGCCAAGCGCTCCAACCTTGGAAAGGGGGAAAAAAAAGCCCTCCCCCTTCACAACAGAAATGGTCGTGTGTCCACTCCCTCCCCCAATAAGCCCGTTAAGAGAAAGCTTCCGTTTGGCTTTTCCTGCCAATTAATGTATTTTGTGCTGGACAACACATCATAAGAAATTAGTAGTGCAATAGAAATTGCTGAAGGGCTGTTCTGTCATTTAAGATCCACCGGTATCCATAGGAGCTACGTTCATCTCGCTTAATATGAACTCAACCCAAAAGCTACGGTCACCGAACTTGCTGTGCCATAACATGGCATGCGTTTCCTTATTATTATTTAGAGATGCTTCAGTGAATCTTGCCATTGTGGTTGATGAGTCATAATGCATGGCATAGTTTCTTGTGGAGTAAATGTGCCAACTGTAATTCATTCACTAAACCCCAGTTAAAGAAGCCCATGGCTTCCTCCGACGTGTGAACCGAATCTCTGAAGGCGTCTTCCTTGAGGCGAGCTCCAACCAGTTGTGAAACTAAGGTGGAGTTTTCCTTTAAAATGGTATTTTAAACACTTCCCATCTGTTTACCAATGGGCCTTGTATGCTGTTCATTAGGTTTCCCAAAAAAGACTTTTCTCCATGTCATCATCCGAAACAGACTTTTTTTTTTAAGGAGAGTATAAATAACATGATAAAAACACCTTACTCTAATCAACAGCCTGGTTTTCGGGGAACGGGGCGAGAGCCAGATCCCGATGCACCCTTCGTGGTATTTCCATACCGGCGATTTAGAGCGCTCTTCATTACTCTACAGAACAGTAATGAAGAGAAGAGACCCCCTTCCCACAGCGTGGCTGGCCGGTTCTTCGGGTGGCCGAAGAACCCAAGAGATGTGTGCCCAGCCGCCTTTCTCAGATGAAAGCCGCAATCCTCGCGGTTGAGCTCTGGCAAGGAAGGGAACTAACTGTAAAGACGGTGAGGTGGGTTTATATGGTCGGTCTTCTAGCCGATGCTGTCATAAGGCAGCAGCTGCATCCCAAGCCTGACCCTCCACACACACACACACACACACACACACACCCTGGGAAGAGGAGGAAAGGGAAGGCGGCTTGGCATGGGTTTCAAAGGCATGCGCCTTAGTGTGCTGCGCCCTGGCCGGATCTAAACCCCAGGGCTTCCCCCCCCCCCCCCCCCCGCCCGGCCACCCCCGGGACGCCCCTCCCCCCCCCCCACACCACCCCCCCGAATCCAATGGCCAGAGCCGCCCCTCGCCGCCGCGAACAAATTGAGGCGTCTGCAAGCAGCTTGGCTTTGAGAGGGGGTAGAAGTTGAGGCCGGAGACAAACGCTTTGGGCTGGAGTCCACACCCACAGAGCCCGGCCGCCCCACTAGTAGTGCGAAAACCAAAGCCGAGAAGGAGGATCTGTCCTGAACGACCCAGGACAGCGGAGGGAACGGCTCCGGAGTCCCGAGCTCTCCTCCTGAAGTTGTCGGTCCTGCGGCCGAGCGCTTTGTGGCCGAGGAGGTCAGGCAGCTTTCGCCTTGGCTCGCCGCTACCTAAAGATCCCAAGAGTTTGTGGCGAAGCTCCCGTGGAAGGCAGGCGGGGGGGGTGGCAAGTGAATCGCGAAAGTAGCCTAAAATGGCAGCTAGACGGTTTGAGAGGAAACTCCGCGGGGATCCAGGGATATAGGACTTGGCACGTTTGGGAGCGTTGTTGATGAACCGGGCAAATCCCATTGACTTCGACGGATTTGTCGCACCGTCATCAGATTGATAGAATTGAAAAGTCTCATTTAAGCTCAGGGTCCTCCGTGACCCAGATGAGATTTAAAAAGATTTGGCGGCTCTTCACTTAAGACCGTCAATAATATTAACGGATTAAGCACCTTACTTAGTTGTTTATAAGGACACCTAAAAACGCCTGGTTGTTGTTGTTGTTGTCGTTGTTGTTTAAACAAAATAGTAGAAGCAGTTCCACCTTGGTTTGGAAAAAAATATTCCAGTTGGACTCGGAGAAGCCGAGGGATGTGGTTAAGGTGGTGAAGCCTGAAGTCTCGATTTCCCCGACCAAAGACACCAGGCAGGGATCCATAAAAACAAATTCTTCTCAATCTAGCCTACTATATTATATTTCCTCTCCCCGAACTCAGACCTACGGGGAAATTTCCCTGAGCCAGCATTTGCGGGCCACCAGAAGGCAAAGAGGAGATCCAGTCTGTGCTGTTCAAAAGTTTGAACTGTGTTTCCCCTCCTAAAATTGGGAGAAACATTTATAATTCATTATTAGTTTCCCCCTTCCTCCGAAAAAATATCCCCGAAGCTTTTTAAACAGAATATATACCCCCTTTTACACTACTTCCTGGCAGTTTGCTTTTAACCTCTAATGTGGTTTTTATAAGTTGCACGTCTGACACAAAAATAGGTCTCACTACATTTACTAAAAGGCTCTCCGAAGTAAACCAGAAGGAAAAAATACTTGTGAGTAAATATGGAAGGAGTTGGCTGACTTATTCGAAATCTGAGGACACGTGCAATCACCGAAAGAGTTGAATTTTTGCTTGCTTCTTCGGAAACATGTCCTGTGGTCTTTTAGTAAATGCATTTAGGGTTGCACTCTACATGAGTCACGTAGCTGAACAGTGGAATGAATAGAAGGCCGACCTTGCACATATTCACTGCAATGAAGCCCAATCAATCCCATCATTGACATCCATCCTGAGCCTGGGGAACTATCACAACAACCGCTGGGGAAGCTTTTCTTATATAGGACGTAGATGGATACAAATTGCTTTTCTGGCTAAAATTTGCCGGGAGGAATAGGCCGAGTGAACGATCGTTCAGTAAGACGGATTTCCATAGAAACTCTTCTCGAGTAAGCGATCTCCTTCCCCCCCTCCCCAACTCCCCCATTCTGGTGATTTCAATGACAGAAGCCCCCTTGCCTGAAGCGGACCTTGGAATGACGCACACTGTCTGGAGCCGGGGGGGGGAGGGGGGGAGAGAAGCAAAGAGAGGGGGGGGCGAAGTGGCCTCGGGGGGGGGGGAAGAGCCGCGGTCCCGGAACTGGGGTTTTTGGGGGGGGGGGGGGGAGGGGAGGGAAGGGGGGAACCGAGCTGCAAGGAAAGGAGAAGCCGACGCGGAGCGGGCGCGGTCTCTTTAGCCCACCCTCGGAAGCTCTCGCTCGCTAGGGCCGAGAGCTCGCAGGAGGCTCCAAGCAGGCGAAGGAAAGAGCTCGGTGGACGAGATCTAGTAACCAGGAGGACGGGGGGGGGGGGGGGGGGG